GGGGGGTAACCAAGCATCAAAAGATAATTGCATTTGAAGTTAGTACTTTTAACATGTGCTAGACAAGGAGTTCTCTGTGCCAGACAAAGAGCAACAGTAAATTTTCAATTATAGCGTAAAAACGGTATTTAGAAATTTGCTCAAAAACTAAAGGACTATAGATAAATATAATACGAATCTCCTGAATCGAAGAAAATAGGGAATAACCAGGCAAATATTAATTATAAAATCTCAGAAAGTTGCTTTACTACTTAACTAATATCTACTTCGCTTATCAACTCATTCTCAAATATCAGCGCACAGTGGGGAAATAAAAATTATTGTTAAAAAATTGCGATATATCGGGGGGGGGGGGGGGGAGAGATATACCGACTTACTACTGAAATGCTTGTCGGTGGGGGTGCTCTGGCCAGGATGTGCGAGGTTGGTGATGTTTCTTTAGTACTGACTATAAAATTTTAAGTCTCGCTAGTCAAGTATGCGAGGTCGATGGAATTTCGGATCAGTGATGCACATTTGTGGCCCCCGGTATCATAGAAAACCAACCCCACCACTTCTATACCAAACAGACCCTTACTGGCACTGAGTCGGTCGACTTCGCCACTGCGAGAGAGCGAGCGAGACAACGAGAGAGAAAGCGGCCGTTCTTTTCGCTCTTACTCGCTTGTGTTTACAAGTTACTAGTAGAGCGAGAAGGACGGGCACTCTCTCTCTCGCTGTCTCGCTCGCTCTCGCGCAGTAGCGAAGTCGGCCGACTTGATGCCAGTAGGTGTCTGTTTGGTGGCGATAGAAGTGGTGGGGCGGGGATTTTCTGTGGTGCCGGGGGCCAAATGTGCATCACTGCTTCGGACTGCTACGTCCGTCCCCAGAGAGAAATAAGGAAAAAAGGCGCTGAGTCCCGCGGAACCGGAGTTTTTATATAGTAATCTGCCTTAACTAACAGCGCTATGATTGGTGGATAGGTTCGTTAATTAGGTTGTGGAACTATTTCTTGCTTTCTAATTGGTCAAGGGTGGAAAAGGACATTGATCGGAATCTGTAGCATGTGGAAGTGTCTCTTAATTTTATTCTTAATTTTATGATCTTAAAATTTATGAGAAAAGCGCACGTGCAGTACGTCAAGGAAGCGAACGTGCAGCGTCGGCACGGGACCACCCAAGACCTACCTTAGGTAAATTATACCAAAACTTAGATCAGACACCGAACAAAATCAGTTTTGAATGTCACTCGTAAACAGATGACTCGAAGATAAAACAAAAATGATAGTTCTTAACTCATATTACTAGCGTCACATCAGTGTCATTATCTTTAAAAAAAAATTTAGTTTCGTTTAGAAAATACAATGGAGGTACGATTTAATCGTCGGTACAACTCTTCGCTATTTGTTGAAAAAAATTATTATTATATACTTTCATAGTTTGGGGAAAATAGGTTTAGAATAGATTTGGAATAGGAAGTTTTTTCTTCAAGGAGTATATATACAAGAGCGTATAATAATTTATGTAACGGTTTTTTTTTTTATAGGAGCACGCACACTTGGCGCCTTTTTTTACCTTTTTCTTAAAAAGGTAAATTTGTTATGATATATTTTTATAGCTTGTTTTGTCTGTGTTATGCTTGTTTCCACCAATGTAGATTAATTTTTATCTCATTTCAATTTATTTTTTATTTTTTTTTTTTGTATTCTTGGAACTAGAAAAGATGAAGGGTGAGTTAAATTGAAATTAAAGTTGATCTACATCGACAAAAACTATTAATACGTTTATTCACCCAGTACGCCTAAAGAAAGGAATACTTTCCAACGAAGTTAGAATTGTTTACAAAAATCGGAATGAAAACTGTTAACGAATATAAAACTAGGATCGTCTTTTTATTTATACAACCTCGATAATGAGACATTTTTTTATCAGACAGTCACTGCACGTCAACGATACCATCAACGTTCATTTCTGCGTCAAAAACAGATTATAGATTCTATCGGCTCTTATGAAACGCATCTCTGTATTGCCCTGCTTATCATAGCGAAGCCTAACACGGTTATTTTATTTATAGATATACTACTCAGGGGTCAATGGGTTTCAATAATAAATAGTAATAAAATTTTCTTTCCATTAATTTCATGTTTGACATAATCGGAAATTGAACATAAAGTTATGTATCATTTTTACACTGTTAGAAATACTTCCTTTACATGTAAATGAAGTTCATGGTTATGAACGAAATTAAAAGTAATGAATAATTTAACTAAAAATTAAGTTACAATAGGTACTTAAATGTAAGGAACGTGTATATTAAATTTCATAAATTTTCATGAAAAATACATTAAATTTCATCTACATGTACACAAATATACTTTTCAGTTATAAATACATTAAATTTAATGTAATGTCATGAAATTAAGTTCAAATTGTCTAACTTAAAGTATATTAAATTTCATGAAATTTTTAACAGTGTACAGTATTACAGTACGGGGCAATTTCAATTGTGAATTAACAGTCCTCGCTCAAATTTTCATCGAACTCTATATACATGCTCCTTAACGAGTGCAACGTCCAATCACGATTCACGACCGATTCTTTCTGTCATCATTACCACTATCTACTGCTAATTAGAATCGTCCTCGAAAAACCCTTCCCATGTCCACAATTCATGAAACTTGACAGTGGTCTCCACTTCGATTCAGCAGTAAACGAACTGCGTTTTTGAGAATCATGGAGATGGGCATAGAAATGTGCAATTTCAATTAGACGAACATTTGACAGAATCATTTTGATCGTTTCTTTAAATAAACTAAACAAGCCTGTTCAAAGCTAATTCTTTTGTTCGAATAATTTCATAATTCTATTGAAATTAATTTAAGTTTTTCTATCCCTAAGATATTTTATGCTAGAACTATGCCATAAATGGCCATCTGTGATTATAATGAAAAAGATATTAATTTTTAAATAAAATAAATAATCCTTTTTTAAAAAATTAAAATGTAAATAAAATTTAAATTACAACTTACAGATGTTTACAACCTACAGATGTTCCTGTGACAACAATTATATTCCTTATGTTCTTCCAATTGAATTTCTTTTATGTACATTTCCAATTGAAACTAATTCTAATCTCTATGCAGATCCTCTGTCAATGATCAGAAATAAATTCAGTTCCGTTATTATTGTTAATTTCTACATAATGGAAACTTAAATTGACATAAACAATTATTTTATTCGTTCTTTATTTTCATTGTTTGCTTTTAATCGCCAGGGCTCTTTATGAAACTTCTTTGAAGAAGAGTCAGCTTTCTATCGATTATATTGAAATTTTAAAAATTGTCAACTTTACAAGGGTGGTAAATTTCTATTTAATTATCATTACTATAAATTTTTGCGTAGGAATTTTCACATCACAGGCCACAAATATTAGCGTCTTCTCGAGAAAGAGTCTAATAAAAATAAAGAGAGAAAAATCCTTTTACGTGTCACTAGACGCGCAATCGGTGATTCGTGGCAAATGCGATTTCTAGAGCGAGCTGTGCAGATGCATGTGATCTCGTTATAAAATCAAGTGTACTATCTGATCGACGAGCGTGTCACGGGGATTAATCCGATCGTTTCGTTACAGATTGGACTGCCTAAGAACTTTAGAATACTACATTTTCTGCCTGAGAGAAAGAGATATTTTTTATTCTCTATTCTCAGTTTTCTAGGATTACGTATACAGCGCGTGCATATAAAAAAAGAGTATAGGAGATCACCGAATGTAAATATATTCAGCTATGGCTAGCAGTCTGAAACGCAGCCACCAACCCGACAAATCGGAGCTTTAACCTATTTCTTCTTTAAGTTACATTACTCAGCAAATAAATTTTCGACATTCGTCCGACTGTCCTCGTTGTTTTCCGTTGCGACCTAGCAACCCTTCCGACACCCTGACCTATTATGACCTACTTTCAACATGTCCTCGTTCGGCCCGATTCCTCATATTCGTTACCATAAAAGGAGCTATCAGCTGTTCTCGATGAAATATATAGATTTACCATATATTTCATTTTTAGAAATCGATTCTGTCTTACAACGCATCATCCCTGGAAAATTCAATGAAATCATTCACCCTTGTATAGGAATCCTATTTAATTCGCATAACAAGATCCATATGTAATTTTTTAAGTATAAATTCTGTGTTGTCTGTCTTTTTGAACAGCAATTTTTGCCGTTCTGCATGTACGTAAGTTACATTAATAGCTGACTCGATCTTTAGACTCCTACAAGCAGATTTTACTATTGCCAAAAAATTGACGGTGCTGCATTCCTTGACTTGATTGCAGTAAAGCGCGGTCTATTTTTCTAGATTGCAGCCCGATGTGTAGTGTAAGACAATTTAGTTAGCCCGTAACTCGAGGTCAACTAAAATCAGAGTTTGTTTTAATTGATTAAATTAATTGATTTAATTTCTTTAATTGATTTAATTCCTGTCTCGTGGTAACGATTGTATCCGACAAAAGGGGACTAATAATCACACGACATGTTTCTGTTTCCCTTGCAGGTATGATCACTCTGGTCGACGGCGCTCCAGCTTTCGTGGACCCTCTCAAGGAATGGAAGATAATAATAACGCATTACGGAGGATTGGCTGGTCTCGCTCTGATCGGACTTATCCTGGCAGCTATTCTCCCCTGCGCCGGTCTCTTTTTCTGTTGTTGTAGATGCGCGGGACATTGCGGTGCCCGAAGTCAACCCTTCGATAAAAAGCACGATCACTGCAGGAAAATTATGCTCAGCATCGTGTTAATCGTTGTCGCTACTATTATTCTGTAAGTTACGTTTTTTATAAATGCCACATTTAATGGTATACATACCTCTCAGTATGTTTTAAAAAATTATATTCCTGGTAAATATTGGTCATTAAGATCAAACAAGACGATTTAAAGGGCTCATTTGCTTACCAAAGAAATATTGCGGTAAATACCGTGATGGAAGTTAAAAATTATTTGAACAGTGAGACCGAAAATTCTGGAACTGATTAATGCGTTATCTTTGCATGAAGATTACTTAAATACGGCTTGTATAATTTAATTTTTTTATGATATTTATACCATGTATAAGATGTAAATAAAACTTTCGAATTCTTTTTCCAACAAATATAAATATAACTGCTACATAACGTGTGAGATAGTTTCGTTCAAATTAAATCCCTCGACTAATCCACGACGGTGTGACTCGAGATGCGCGATATAATTGTTTTAAGCCGACCGCACAGTGCACACGAGGCATAATTTCTTGCATGATGAGTTTATATGCTGCTGTGCCTGCTCTAATACATACTAAACATCTCCATGCATTGAACGAAGCATGCTACCATCCTTGATTTCTGTGTGTTTCATATGATACATACATTATTTTCAGGATTGTATAATTTAACTTCGTTCAGGATTGTATAATATAACTTCGTTTAGTAACTTTTTTTAGTAACGAATGAGTAATGTAGTTTTCCTAGTAACAGTAACGATAACTAAGTCACAATGTTCAATAACAAGTAACGAAATTTTATGTTATTTTTTTCATTATTCCGCTGATATATATCCGTATTCATAGTCAGGCCTTATATTTAAGGCTTCCTTAAATTTATCTTCAGATACTCTACGAATTATTTTATTGGCTACTGAGCATCTGAAGATAAATTTAAGGAAGCCTTAAGAGGATCCTAAAGCAAAGCTCGAACTCCGACGAAATCACTAGATGTCGCGCCGCGCGCCGCACATCACATGTCTTTTTATACTATCACAGCAATATCTCACGTAGCCTATGATACACGCAGCCTATGATACACGCAGCCACACATACGTGTCAATTTTCGTACAACGAATTTGTCGCGATAAAGCGTCTAAATCTAATTCTAAAAACTCGACGTTGTATGTTCGTGCAAATTACGTGTTTAGGAACTATTATTTCGTACGTTCGCGTTGCAAACCTTTCATATCAAGCAAATGTTGTCGCAACTTAACAGCTGAGACGCCATGTTACACTAAGAGGCCGATTCTATAATTCTTAACGACAGTCGTTGATGTCATTGCGCAGCTTTTTTACTCTACATAATATCTGCGCAACGATATCAACGACTGTCGTTAAGAGTTAAGCTGACCGCACACGATGCACGATTTCCTGCATAATGGGCTTACATGCTACTGTGCCTGCTCTGATGCGTGCTAAACACCTTGGTGCATTGGACGAAGTATACTACCATCCTTGATTTCTATGTTTAACACGGTGCATTATTTCATGATCGTTTTCTTGCACGCGCCAATCAAAACGTTAAGAATTACTCACATGATTGATTCGTGTCATGCGTATGTGAAATGTATAGGTTAAAGCCACCACGGTTGTCACCTTCGTGTGATGGCCTTTATGCAGCAAACCGAGCAAAGTAACGTGCATTGATCAGCATGCAAGAGAGCAAGCATAAAAATCATGCATCGTGTGCGGCCAGCTTTACAGAATCGGCCCCCAAGAATTGGAAAAAAATAAATCGATTTCCAAATTTTTGATCATTCTCAGCATAGACTCCACTTCACAAACACGTATTAATGCGTATACTTTAATCCTGGAAAAGGATTTTCGAATCCGTGAAAGAGAAAAAGAGTATTCGTGTTATACAAAAATTATACGTGTTTAGTCGGTAATACAGACGTCTTTAGGATCCCCTTAAGTATAAAATCTGACTATAAATATGGACAATATATATATAGAGTTCCTTTAATAAGACTAAAAGATAGCACGCTATTTAAATTCGGGAGATACCGATGTCAGCACGTTAAATGAGTATCCTCTTTTGAAAAAATTGTTTTAATCAAATATAATACCGGTCTATCAAGTAGTGCATTAATAGAAAGACTTTTTAATACTGGTGAACTCGTTTTGACGAATCTTCGGCAGTCTGTCTAACAGACGGACATTTTGAAAAACAATTATTATTAAACAAAAAGATTCAGCGATATAAATTAATTAGATATAATTTAAAGTTAAAAAATATGTGTTGATGCAAATTAAGATATGTATCAAAACCAAATAAAGAACTAATAAAATGTAAAACAAAATAAAAGTATGAATTAAAAAACGATTTATTCTCTTATATAGTTATAATTTAAATAAATGTAATCATATAATAGTATAATGGCTCAAGAATAAAAAAAAAGTTAGAAAAAAATTTTACGTATAAAATTGATAGATAAATAAAAAAATGCCTTAATAAATTAATTACGAATTTTAATAACATGCCGGCTAACAACAAATGTCTCGATCACGATCGGATCATTATTAATGTTCACAAAATATGTCTAAACGGTAAAAAACATAACATAAAGTCGATTGAAAATTGAAAATATACTTTGGATTATATTATTATATAATTGTTGGTATCAATAAATTAAGATGGATCTTCGTCTTGTTAGTTAAAATGAACAGTAATATACATAAAATACATACATTAGAATTTGTCAGAAAAGTAAAAATTTATACTATAGTCGGTCGATGGCAAATGAAAATATACTTTGCAATGTCAAGACATCTAACTGTTGGTATCAATAATTAAAGAATCTTCGTTTTGTTAGTACAAAATTATACAGCAAAAGAAAGTCGGTGTATGATTATACATTGGTGTCCAGAACGAAATATAACGCATTACAGTTATAAATATAATAATGTAAAATTATAAGAATGACAGAATGATATAATCTGAAGAGACAATACAATATTGATATAAATGAAAGCTAAAAATGTACCTACAATGTATATCTATCTATTCAATTAATACTAGTTAAAATTAAATAAGAAAAATACCTTTCATAATTGTAGTTGAGAGTTCAATCCAAAAAAATTAAAATATATGAATAAAGTACAATAGACAATGCGATGAGAGAAAGATCGGTGTCTCTTATCTTCAACGATATTAGACAAAATAAATTTAAAATGACTTTCAAAGAAGGAAAGTAAAGTTGATGTTAGAAAATAGTGGGAAGTGAGATTAAAGAGGGGGGATAGGTAGAAAGAACATAAGAGCAGTTTACTATGGAGGTTGGTACGCTACTGAGTGAGGCGTGATGGGCCATGCTACGAATTCGCGCGGCACGGCTTCACCGCACATTGACTTATATGTTTCTTTTTTTAATTCGAAAACTACAGCGAATATCTCAAAATGGTATTAGACTTTTTTGTTCCCCTTGATCCATTCTATGCCCCCAATGCGGCTCCTGCCTTATTTCTGAGACATCCTGTATATCCTTCCTTACTTGAGGCAAGGAGGAGGATCTCGCTTTGCGTGGAAAGTCACGCACCCCTTGACAAAGGGAAGGTGGAGTGAAACTAGCTTCGCGTGGAAAGTCGGATGCTCCTTAGCAGAGGGAGGTGGAGTTGCTTCTCGTAGAAAGTCGTACGCCCCTAGGTAGGAGGATGTTGGGGTGGATCTCCCTACGCGTGGAAATCCACACAGCATATAATATTGTAATAATCTTGCAGTAATATTACAAATTTGCCGTAATGTTGCATGGTAATATGTCAGTAATATTGTATAAATATCGCTGCAATATTAAATGTCCGCGGCAAAATCGCAGAAATATTTCTGCGATATTTTTGTAATATTACTATAATATTAGGTAATATTTTTACATATTATGCTAATATCTTGCAATATTGCGATAGTATTTCTATATACTGTAGTAATATTACATAGTAATATACCAATAATGTTGTATAAATATGGCAATAATAAATGTCTGCAAAAAATTTATCGCAGGAATATTTCTACTATATTTCTGCAATATTGCCGCAACATTATGATATATTACAATAATTAATCCAGTTTTATTAATTGCTAAAGTATTATTGTTTAATATTACACTCTAAAGTGCATATGATAAAGTCATGATAAAAAAAATTCGGAGACCAAAAAACCCCCTCAAAAAAGGTTTGAAATCTCCGGGAGATACGCCGACTCGATTTGTGTATTCCTTCTTATAGGAATGCTGGACGTTTTCTTCTTACGAGCGTGTCCCTCTCGTGACTGGACCGCGTACTTATCCCTTCAGCACGAAATATTGCAGCAATATTGCAGCAATATTTCAATTATGCCTAATATTAGCAATTGTAGCGATATTGCTGCACTATTGAAACTATAACATTTTATTGGAAATATTGCTACAATATTGCAAAATATTGTAATTTTAATTTTGTAGAAAATATTGCAATATATTGTTGTATTACAATCCAATAGATAAATATACGGCCCCGTCGCGAGAAAAGGATACGCATTTCGCAAGGAGAAAATGTCCAGAAGTTCTATAAGAAGGAATACACGAGTATTCTCTCTTATAAGTCGAGTAGACGAGTCTCCTGGAGATTCCCAAACCATTTTAGATGTGCTTTTTAAGCCCCTGAATATTTTTTAATCATAACTTTATCATATGTATTTTGGAATATAATGCTAAGCAATAATATGTTAGCAATTAATAATAGTGGAATAATTGTTGAAATATTGCATAATTTTATAGCAACACGTATGCAAAATTTCTCTAAATGTAATCTACTGAATCAAAACACTGCAACAGTAAATTGCAATATTTTCTTCAAAATATTTTTTAATACTGTTGCAACATGTTCAATAAAATATAAAAATTTGAATATTACAGCAATACTGCTGCAATTTTTGTAATATATTAAAATATTGCAATATTGCAATATTTCGTATAGTTGGGTTAGTCATATTGAAACCCTTTATATCTCAAAGAATATTGTTTAAAATAAAAATTTATAAATAATTGTTTACTTAATTTTAAATAAACGTTTTACTTAATTTTTCTAAACTTTTGTTACTATTGCATTTTGAACGGCGAATGTTGGAACACTGACTTGTATATATACTTCAATGATGTATTATTTGCCTCCCCCCCCCCGCGCATAATAAATAAATTAAGAACAGGAGAAAAATATTGAATATTGAAAAAATTAAAAAAATTGTAAATGAATATTTAATATAACTGCAATAGATACAAATAAGATATAAGACACAATACAGCTCATTTGTATCCATTGTGAATTATGTTTAATCCATATTCCTAATTTTTTAATATTTAATATTTATTTAGTAATGAATCAAAACATAATATTATTTATATCTTAGAAAGATAACACTACGATAAAATACATTATAATATTTCAATGCTGTTGCAGTAATAATGCAATGCGATAAACTGCAATGTAATAATTGAACGATATTGCTGTAATATTACAATGCAATGTACCACATTGCAACCATTGAATGATATTGCGGTAATATTACAATGTTTGATCAAATGCGATTCAATCCGCTAATTTGGATCCACCATTTTATATTAATTCAGAAAACGTTCATAACTCGATGAAAAAAAATCGCATAGTAAAAATCAAAATTCGTTTTAAAGGTGAAAAAAATTCGCTCTTTCGAGTGCCGTTTATGAAATTGAAGAATAAAATTTCATTTGGCCACAAAAAATGGTAAATATGGCAAAAAACGCTGTTTTTGGCTCATATTACTCGATTTAACTAAAAAATTTGATGTGATGGGCATCTTCCGCTGGCGGATTTGGATTTAGCGACCATAAATCTATTAAGAAATACTAGCCCTATTCGCCGCAATTTTTTTTGTTAGACTGTGTAATTAATTATTTTATGATTTGAATTTACCATCTTAATTTTTAACGTTTTGATTTACTACCATATTCAGCTATCCTAGAGACCTTCAAGTAAATGTCTGGCCATGGGACAAATATGGCGGAAATACTTCGCTTTATTGCAGAGAGTATATGAATGGCGACAACATTTGTCTCTGTATTGCAAGGTATATAGGGTCATAACCTGATCTAAGGTTATCAGTGTTATTACCCGTGGTTACGCGCTATTATCCATAGCAAAAGATCTCATCATCAGGCAAGACGCTGTAAAAGAATTTATTAGTAACAAAAAAAATACCTAATTATTGTGTGCCCGATTGTAATAATTCAAGTGATAAAGGATTTTCCATAAGAAGTTCCGCCATGTTTGTCTGATTCAAGATTGTCCTATCAGAATGTAGTTGAGAGTGGCCAGACTGTAGGATAGCTTAGAGACCCTCTTACTTGAGGGTTATAATTCCCTCTGTTGTTAAATATGATATTAATATTCGGGATTTCTCCAAACATATATATTTAACGACAGCTTCGTATAAAAATAATGAAATTCTATTTCCCTGTCTCGTCACTCTAATAAAACGTAAACAATTAACACGGACAATTAACTGCAGATTCGGCGTGGTGTGTGCCTTTGTGACAAACGAGTACATGCAAGAGGGAACCAAAGAGCTTCCGTGTAAAGCCAAGACAAGTCTGAAAGACGTCAAGCTCTACTTGACTACCACGAAGCTAGAGATTGACAATTTGCTCAAGACCAATCCCGAGGAACTTGAAGTTACGCTCAACAATATCCTGCAGGCTAGTGGTAAAATCGTTACCGAACAACTGGCGGAATATTCTCACGCCGTCTCCCTGACAAATCTGAATGACATCGTTGCTGGCTTAGAGTCGATCAGAGAGGATCTCAGGTTGATGAATAAAATAACGCAGGAATTAAGGATAAATGCCAGTCAATTGGACATTGGTACGCAGCCCGTTTTTCTAAATTCTTTAAGTTTATCGGAACTAAAAAAAAATCACTTAATATGTTATATTTTTTCTTCCTTGCTAAAGAAGGAAAAAGAGAATTGTAAACTGTACATAGTAAACTGTAAAAAATTAAATTATTCTCCACGTGTCCGAAGCAAATTTATATTTAAATTTAGAATATCTAAAATATGTTCATTTGATCTAATTATTCTTTCGATCTCTATATTCCCAGATAGCAAACTGTCATTAATTTGACGTTGATAGTTGGCCATTTTAAATTATTGACGTCATGTGACCTATTTAAGATGTAATAATAATGTCATCTTTTTGACCAATTAATGACGTCATTTATTTATGACGTTTTTACAATGTCATACTTAATGACGTCGAATAAATGGCCAATTGTCGACGTACTAGTAACATTATTAGTAATCAATTAATAACATCATACATTTCGTTAATAACACGAAAATAATGATGTATTTTTTACGTCAGTTTATGACATTGTGTGAGTGATAAAAAATATAAGAATTCACGTCATTTTTATGATGTTTAGACGTCAAGGAGCTTATTATGGTCTTAAAATTACAAAAGTAATTGAATTTACTAAAATATTTATAACTTTAACACCTAGCAAATTTGTTCATTTTTGTAATTTTCACTTCATCTCAGGAACCGTATAGATTCGTTATAAGACTAACTAATTAATGACGTCAAATGGACGACACCTTGCTACCGTCAATAATACGAAAAAAATGATGTATTTTTGACGTCGACATTATGAACCTGTGACAAATCCACGTCATTTTTACGATGTTTGGACATCATTTTAAACGTCACATTCGTCATAAGAATGACTAATTAATGATGTTAAATAGATGACACCTTGCTACCTGGGTTGTAATCTTTTATAGATATTTATCTATTGCTTTTCTAGAAAAAGCACGAAACAAATTCTTGGAGAAAAATTAACTCAATCCAAAAGTTTACTTAAATTTCATACGTTAAATACGAAAATTATACTATAATAGATTAATTTTTTATACAGGTGTTTCTTCCTGTAGCTTGTTCATTTAAAATATCTCCGTTGTTTTTAATGACATGAGAAAATACTACAAGAAATCTTCAATTCGAAAGGGCACATACATATTATGGGTGAGCAAAAATTTTCTCAGTCACTTTTTTTAGACTTCAAGGTCACCTTCACTTTTTAAAATGGAATTATATGATTTTTTTTATTATATGATTTTCTAATTATTCTGCTTATAAAAGCATAATATTAAGGTAGTGATATAAAAAAATCAATAATTCACGAGATATTTCATTTATATTTTATTCTGGTATATATTGACATAATATGTTAAATGACTCGTAAATTATTAATTTTTTTATAACCGTACTTTAATACTTTTATGAACAGAATAATGAGATGAATCAATTGGTGAAAGGAAAAAACACATAGTTACTTATTTAAAAAATTATCCTTTTGCATGCATATTTTTTTAAAGTAATATTATGCTGTTAAAAAAAGTATTTAAGGTACGATTTTGAAAAAATTAATAGTTTACGAATTATTTAACATTTTATGTCAATATATGCCAGAACAAGATATAAAATATCTCGTATAAGCTGTTGGTTTTTTATGTCACTACCTTAATATTTTTATATTCAGATTAATTAGAGGAATATTATGTAAAATATCATACAGTTCCACTTAAAAAAGTGAAGATGATCTTGAAGTCTCAAAAAACATGACCTTGCAAAAAAATTTTTCTCATAATATGTGCCTCTTCGAATCGAACTAGATCTCCCCCCCCTCCCCCGTATTTTTTCGTATCATCAAAAACAACGGAGATATTTAAAATGATCAAGTTACAGGAAATATCTTGTATAAAAATTTTAATGAACATTTATAAATACAGTAGGAAAGCAAGGAGGATTCTAGACCATTATGTGTTAGTGCATATATGTATATGCGGTACTTGCGTGCGTTCGTGCGTGCGTGCGTGCGTGCGTGCGTGCGTTCGTGCGTGCGTAAAAAAAGTGCGTGCGTGTGAGAGAGATCAGGGAGGAGGTAGTGCATCGCTAACGCTGTGTTCGAGAGGCAAGGGAGGAGAAGCGCGTCATCAGGATCCGTGATAGAAAGGAAGGGGGTTTTTGTTCTTTCTCTCTCCCACCCGTTGCGTTCTCTTTCTAACTCATTCTCTCTCTCTCCCACCCATTGTAGGATACAGTTTTTTCTGTCATCCATTGCGGCCCTATACTTACCATCTGATTCGCACTCCCATCTCTTCCCGTTGTATTCTCTCCCACATTCTGTTTTCTTCTCGCACGCGATTTTATAGATATGGTATTTATTTTACGATCTTTTACTGATATGACTTAGCAATAATTTTAATTTATTAACTAATTATAATATTTTTAAATAATATACTATGAATAATCGAGCGCGTTTTCTTATCAACTAATTCAATACGAAGGTACGAAAAAGGAAAGATAAAGAGACTAGGGAAAAGGTAATTTAAAAAAAAATTTTTTTTTAATATACATTTATTTATCATATAATGCAACATGTACAATATAATCTAAATCAGAGTGTTGTGTGAACGTGTATTCTTCCTCGGGTAAATAAAAAGACATTCATTGATTTGCTTTAATTCTTTAATAAAAAGCAAAAAATCATATCTTCTGTAAACGTGGCGTACATACGAAGGCGTTACGACCGCCTTTGGCGCCCTATGCTGGAATTTGCTTTTGCGTCTCATCATAAGGATTGCTAAGTCTCTGAAGCACCAATTCCCCGCCAACTGCAACGAACTAACAACTAAAGGAATTTCCACCAATTTGCATAACACAGAAATACGAATACAATAAATTTTATATTTTCTTTTGTAATAATATATTTGACGCTTAATATAACATACTATATTATATTTTCTGGCTTTAGTTTTTGAAAATACTCTGATTATGTCTTCGATTATTACGTAATCAAGACTGATTATGTAATCAAAACTGTTCGCTAATTCTTTTTCGATTGATATCATAGCTAAATTACATGACCTCTGCAACGCGCATGCGCCTTAACATCTCTTGATTCAAGTTCGATCGCCAATGGCGGGAACGATATTGCATCATCGCATAACGGCGATTCTAGTCTATTCGCTCTCTTACAAGCCGCTAATAGCGCAGATCAAATAGCTGTGAATGAAACTCGACCGGATGACTCTTAGCTGATAAATACACTGGTGGAAGATGACGTGCAAATAGAAGATCTTCAAGGTACTTTCGCCACTGGAAATGACAATCCTAATCAGGACAAATCTAACCGTAAAAGAGGTGATGTTACTGAGGATGACCCTCTCTCCAAGGCGCAAAAGACATCGCTTATAGGTATAATAGGAATGTCGAACTATCGCCGACTAAGTCGCTTCCCCAAGCGTGTAACCGATACTTGACTTCCGATGAAGGGCCTTTTGTTGTGCATGTCTTTATCTCAGAGACGAAGAAAAATCCTTCCTCGATGCATGAGATTCTAATGAAAAGACTTATCGCGCAAATGGTTCGGAATGATATCATCTGTATGAGAAAGATCCGTCACGGAAAAATTTCAGTTGAAATGCGCTCAGCTTCAGCAACTAATTCTCTTGTTTCCCATCCGACTCTTGGGCCTCATAACCTTCAAGCATATATTCCTATAGTGTTCTACAGAATGGTGTGATTTGCGATGTCACTTCTCAAGGAAATTAGCAATGAGGAGCTTCAATGGGCCCTTAAGGCCCCGTGTAAAATTATCAGCGCTCAGCGCATGAATCGTGCTGTCACTTCTCAAGGAAAAACGGAATACGTCCCATCACTCTCAATATGTGTCAAGTTCGCCGGACAGATATTACACAATCACGTCACTCTGTTACGACAGACATCCTGTCGCCCCCTACGTATCGAAAGTTAGAATCTGCTACTCCTGCTTTGGAGCTGGCTACACTAAGAACAATTGCAATAGCAATCTGAGATGTATCATTTGCGGAAACGTTTCTCACGCGGACAACTCTCCCAGTTCTCTGAATAATACATCTCCGAGTGTATTAACTGCAATGATAACCATCTCGCCAACGACCCTAAATGCCCTGACATCATCAAACAGAAGACAATTCTGAATGTTGTGGCGGTGGAAAATATTTCACTTATCGAAGCCAGGAAAAAGGTTCAGTTCTATAGCTCACCATTTGCGGGTCCTTCCGCGGACTCCAGGCCATATGCCGCTAATTTTCCTCCTCTCCGCACCCCCTTTCTAGTATTGATAAATACAGAGAAATTATATTATTTGTAAGTTCTTTTTTGCTCGATTACTGACCGTTATATTACATTATTTGCTCCGTTAAGATTGTTCGAAATCCTCGCGGTCGAGCTCGAGGTCATGCCATATTTATTGCAATGCAATGTCCACGTTGGTTATTCTCAAGTTCAGCAGAAAGCGAGAATGTCTTGCTGTCTTCATTTAAAAAAAATCAAATCCGCCATATTGGTTCCACCATATTAAATTCTCAAAAATTGGAAGCAGATTTGGATTCAGCAACTTTGAAAATCACCGTATACCCCATTCTGTAACAAACGTACGAGTACTTCGTCAAATACTGGAATTTACCCCTATACATTCATAAGGACGTTTAAGCTTTAAAACGGCTTTTGGGCAGATATAAAAAAATACGTGTCAGATATTTTTCAATGAACTGTGTTACTTGTTAGTATCTTTAGGAATCGTCTTGAGCAATTTAACTCCACCTCGGCGGGGCTATATATTTCCCACCGGACGAATCTATAATGTGGGTTCCCGATTGTCGTGCCAGCTCCTTGGGGGCTGAGTCGCGGTACTCGTGATTCGCGGTCCGCGAGCGCTCGCGAGAAAGTTGGTGCCGCAAAGCACTCGCGAGAAAGTTGGCGCGTGCCGGATTCTATATTGCAAGCGCCTGTATATCGGGTTGCCTGTGGTGCTGGCGCTTGCAGTCGCCACATAATATATTTTGGGTAAAATTTCGGTCATTTTCACGAAAGAGTGATACGCTTAGTCGTGCCTGGCGCCCAATTGCGCAATATTGCGACTGAGAACTGTGTAAATGTCTGGAAATATTTTCTGTTGTTAATTTCGAGTCTCGAATAAGTTATTAGTGAAAACTTTAAAGAATATTAATCGCGAACGCACAATGAAGTTGCACCACACTCGTGAGTAATCAAATCGACATATAAATCGTCATTACTTTACAATCTCAATGTTTAAAAAGCTAAAACTTTCCAAAAAATTCTTTCATTAATAAATAAAATTGTAGTATATATGAAAGTTGACAATTCGAAAATTCGTGCGACAACTTTTGTGATCGAATGAATAAAACTACGAATTCGAGAGAAATATTTTGAAAAAGACTGCATTTTGCTGAGAAATGTTTCGAAAACTTTTATGTGCCCTTTACTTCGGGAAACATGTTGAAGTTTATTCTACGAAAGTTTCAAAGAAAAATATTCATATTTGGCCGAAATATGGTGAGTTGAACATAAAAATATGATGGAATTTTTTTATTTTACGAATTACTTTTTTCGTTTACAACTTGAAAACAAAAAAGTTACTAATTTTGTTAAAACACAAAAAAGATGCGCTATAAAATTCTCTACAAGAATCAATCGTCAAAATCAAAATTAAAGCGATGTCCAAAATTAGTCCTGCAGACAATATTTATATCGCGAAATTCACGCGTATTCCCTTACAGAATTCAGCCCCTTAATTAAGACTCTATCAATAATGATAGCTGTCCAATAGTAGTACGATATGGTTCAATAAGTGTTCGATAGCTATTCAACAATAGTTTAAAAATGATTCGGTAATTAGGAGCGCTCGTGTTACATTTGGCTATTTGTAGTATATTGTTTACAATTATTATAGTTGCTAAATTGGTAAATATCCTATTCAGGGATGTCCCCTCCAATGACTTTGACCTTGACATATACTGTCAAGGTCATGACTCTGAGTAATTTGTAACAGGTTTTAGCCATCGCTTGTTACTCGTTAAAAGGTTTTTAAGAAGGAAAATTTGAAAAATGATGTTTTTTTCACTATATAGAACAAAAATTTCCTGCTTTAAAATATATTTTACGACTATCTACGCGAAGCGACTCCCACCCCACCTCTCCCCTGTTGAGGGGCGCACGGCTTCCATGCGAAGCAACTTCTACGCTTCGCGTGAAAAATCATTACGTAAGCAAGCGAAGGGTATAGAATAGTTTTTAATATTATGTATAGCCGAAATAAAATGTTATTTTTCAAACTTTTTTTGTTAATAACTTTTTAACGAATAACGAGCGACGGCTACAACTTATGGGAAGTCATTCAGGGTCATGACCTTGACAACATATGTCAAGGTTATTGGAGGAGGCTCCCCTAAACAGGATATTTACCGCTAAATTAACATAATTGCTCAAAAAAACATAAAAAAAAAATCGTACAATAAATACCATACCTATTTAATAAAATCGCATAGGAGAAGGAAAGATAACGTAGAGAATATAACGGAAAGAAGAGAGAGAACGCGAATAAGATGATAAGTATAGGACCGCAACGGGTGGGAGAGAGAGGACAACGAGATAAAAAGAAGACGCAACGGGTAGGAGAGAGAAAGAACAAAACTTCTTCCCCCTGTACCACTCCGTGACGCGCTTCTCCTTTATCCCTCGAACCCAGCGTTTGTGATTGGTCTGTGATGCGCTTCTTCTTCCCTGACTCCGCACACAAACATGTACATACCGCATATACATGCACGCATTAACACATAGTGATCCTCCTTGCTTTCCTACTAAATACAATTTATAAAATAAAATGAATATCTTTGCATAGTAACATTTAAATGTAATGATTGACAATTTCGATTTAATTAAAATTTTTTACGAAATAAATTAATTTTACACAGTCTTTAAATTTTTCTATAACTCCGTATTTTTTTAAGATATATACACTAGTATATGATAATACAACTACTCAGTTGAATAAATTTTTTAAAGTATCAATTATTAGCGTTTTCGGCCCGGCCGGGTTTGCAACCAACCTAGGTTCAATGGCGTTTTGTGCTCTCCTATTGATAGAGCGTGTGACGTCAACCAATAGGAAAGATTAATTCAACCAAGGTTGGTGCAAACCCGATCGGACCGAAAACGCTATATGTTAACATAGTTATTTCATATTGATTATATTCGCATAGCTATTATTTTTTTAATGTACACAGATATATTACATTTAATAAATAAACTATTCTTACACATATATATATTTAATACATAAGTAAACTATTCTTACATAACAAGCATTTTATCAAAGAATATCAAAATGAGCGAAACATAAAATTACTTCTTTAGTTGTTCGTGGTGTCAAGAAAAATCTTCTTCACACGCTGGCTGCGTGCACGACTGACAAGTGCCAACGAGTTCTGCACGATTACAAAGTGAATCAAATGTCAGTACAGGTGGACTTCGATAAGGTAAGCAGACTCAACTCATTTCTTATCGTAAATATTACCTTAACTAATTACAGTTAATTACGAGCTTTTCCTTGTTTACACGCAGTACATGGACCGTTACTTTCCAAAGGTATGATTTTACAATAAAAGGAAACTTTTTGCAATGTAATCAAATTAATAAAAATGCCTTCGGACCTCGATGTATAAAAGAATATTTGAAGAGGAAATGAGATTTTTTAGCAACCTCGGCATCACTGATTTTAAGGAAATATTATCTCGAGGTCTCTAAGTGCATTGAAAACAGTGATTGTTAATGCATTGAAACGGTAGATTTGTATAAAGCTTGCCTCGGTTTTCGTTTGCTCATGATAAGGCTTCTTAAAATAAAGTCACTAATGTCTCGAATCTTATCGAAGCAATTAAATCTAATACGACTTTTTCACTCCACCACTTTTATATTATTAGTATTATTAAATATTTAGATTAATTAATCACAAAAGAATATTATTAAAATATAATGCATGACATATCGGTGCAATTAATTCGTAAATTCAAATATATTTTGACATATTGTAGACCAATGCAATTATCGCTTTAATGTAATTTATTGCAAAACATTTCATTAATATCGAATATTGTAGTTACTGATACATCGCGTGATCATTAGTGTACGAAGAACAGATATTGTATAAATTTATTTGATTCCATGCTTGCCACAAATAGCTTCTAGCATCTGTAAGTTGTAAAGCAAAAGCATGCAGTTTCCTTACTCATGTGTATATCGTTTTATATATTGTAAATATATTAATTTCATTAATCGATTACTTTTGCAAAATAATTTGCACGAGTAAAAATATTTGCTAGATATATGTATACATTAAGTATGTTGAATTTCTTTCTGAGAGCACATTATTATTAGATATTATTTGCACTAAATTTGCTTCTCTATCGAATATAAGAAAGAAAAAAAATTTACGAAGTTACATAAAACAAAAGAATGTATTTCATATACAGAATGTTCTACTTTTCATACAATATTTTCTAACGAATTTTCTTGCTCAATATGATAATTTTTCTTTAGCGAAAATATCAAATCATCGATCACTTTTGAATTGTGAGTGATTGAAAAACCGAATCTGCGTTTTAGATTTCGAAGAGTCGAATAAATTACAAAACTTCAACTAATCGCAAATGGATTCATCGTAGTATAATTTCAAATTGGAAAAATATTAATTAATTGTAAAAATATATGTTATTGAATGTTGCGGTAAATGAGAATCCTCCATGAAATATTTTCGTTATGAAAAAATTAATTATAAATAATCAAGAAACAATAACGAGAAGTAGGACATCCTATTCATGATAGAGGTACAATTTTATATAAAGCAGAAAAGATTTTAGCAGCATGAAAACTATATATATATATATATATACGATAGAAAACATTTACTTACGAAATTATATGAAATCTTATATGAAATAATGATCTAAAATTAAAGGGGTATATATATGCATATATATATATACATATATATATATATAAAAACAGACGTATATTATAGGGATATGTGTATTTACAAAAACAAATATTGTTGATTTTTTATAAAACAGTTTATAAATGATATAAATATAATTGTTTACCCAATTAATTTTAAAATATTTCGGTAAAACAACGATTATAAATCACCCTAGCGACGTATTTGTAAAATTAAATTCGAAAAGAATATATTTGTGCATGAAGAAATCAAATTAATCTATACAGTACCGGCCAAAGTATATCACGTTTAGAATTTGAAATAGACTGATGAGAATAAATTTTATTATATAAAAAAAATTTTACGAGAGGGTGGATCAAATATAAACTAAACTTATTTTTTTTAATTTATTGAAGCACTATAAAAATACAAACGTACAATCTTATTTCTCTATATAATCTCCGGACTTAGAAACACATTTTTCCCAACAGATAGGTAGTTATTTTATTCCGCTATCGTAAAATAAAGGTGGTTGTGACACCAGTCAATTACACAAGAACGCTTCGACAGTAACATCGTCATCAAATCTCTGTCCTCCGAGTGCTTCTTTTAGTGGTCCAAACAAATAATAATCGCAAGGCGATAAGACCTAAAGGTGTTCCAGTGTAGTCCATAACAAATTCTCTCTTTTTTGTCGAGTTTGGGCAGCTGTATAGGACCGGGCATTATCGTGCAGTAGGATAACTTCTCGTATTGAAAATTCGCGTCTTTTTCGACAATATGCGAGTTTTGTTTCGTTCAAAAGTTGGCAGTAGTATGCGGCGTTCACAGTTGACGTTCATGGAAAAAATCAATGTAAAAATTCCTTTGAAATAAAAAAATACAGTTGCAAGAACCTTCCTAGCTAAAACCGACGTCGGTTACCTTCATTTTCAACTACTTCTTGTCCTTCTAAAAGTTGTTTGTGCCACGCGTACTTGAAACTTCTTAAGAGTATTGTTCCCGAACTGTGCCTTAAGCCTTCTCAAAATTTTGGACGGTTTTACGCCCTCTGTCGTAAGAAACTTGATAATAATCCATTGCACAACAGACGAAGGGTACCTCTTGTTCTGACATCGTGTACTGACTAAAGGAGCAGTAGTGTGGGGTCCTCTACGGGGGGAGGGGATCCCCTTCAGATTCCTAACTGTAACGCTTAGAAGCCCCTCTTTATTCACCTCACGGCACGTAAATAAGTTCGGTTTAATTTGATTCACCCTCGTATTTTTTGAAACATGTTTAATACTTAAATATATCTGTGTGAATTTGTATATGTATTTAATTCTTCAAACCATGCGTCGAAATCTTTTACGTTGAAACGCAGTTGATTAGTTTCACTGTATTGCTAGCATTTAAACATGTTATATGTTATTACTTATGCAAAGTTTATTATTCACGTACGCGCGCGCGCGCGCACACACACACACACACACACACACACACAAAGTTTAACTTATTTTTTAGATTTAAAATAAAACAGAGTTACCATTAAAATATATTATAATTTGATAGATATCTACATACGTACTTTAAACCAAGTTATTCTCACAAAATCTAAAGATGATATACTTTTAGTCAATATTGCGTATGCATATAAAAATGCATAAATATACTTTTAGTCGGTATTGTATATGCATACAAAAATGCGTAAACATTTCTAAATTATAAATATAAAAACATTGCAACATGAAATATTACACATTCAGCATTAAACATTTTTTTTTTATAATTATAACCTATTTATATATCAAATTGGATTTGTCTAACTTTTTACAAATAGGGTAATTTCAGTATACATATACAGAGTGTGAATATCATGCTTACGAGGGGATTACTGAAATCATTTTGAAACAAAAATCCTAATATCAAAATCAAGGTTATGATAAATTAAAAGTATCTATGATTTTATCTGCGTTTACGCAATTTTTACGTAATCTTTATAAAAAAAATAATCAAATATATAAAATAAAGCTCGAAAGAATCTATCAGTGAAAAATATAAAAAAGCTCATCAGAGCCTACATCGGTTGTTCGGATGCACAGAAAACTCTTTATTTTCGTGTGAATGTAACAAAACGAATGAAATAAACGTTTCGACCCTTCAATTCAGGTCCTTGTCAACATAAATCGAAATTACATAAGTAACGCAAATTCCACGATGGTGATTCCCGACAATATAGCTCGTTCTTCTTTATCCTAATGCCAACTTACAAGGGAACACAACCAGTTGAACTTTTTCGATTTAAATGAGCTTTTAGTATGTTGTTCTATAGACAAAAATAACAGACACGTATTTTTTTATACGTGCGGAGTCGCATGTTAAGGGGGTGAAATCCTCCCTTGAAAAAAATGCCTGTAAAGCTTCCTTTGACATTAAAACTTTTTTAGTTATAAATTTCGTAACTTTTCTAGATACAATTTGATTCGCGAGCTTAAATCTTCTAACCCATTCGTGTGATGCTTTAAAACCTAATAAGTTTTTTTGTTGTTGCGCTTGCAAAGCCCATCGTGTAATATCAATATCATGGATCGTTGCCCCTTTACGAATCGCTTCAATAAATTTATCTAACGTGTATGCTGAAATTCGTTCCAACTTTTCAAGTCTACTACCACCTATATTCATATGCTTTTCCCATCGTCGCAATTGGTGTGCTGATATTACTTTTCGAAACTTTGATTTTACAGATTCAATTGTTCTTGGCTTTAACTTACCACTTCTCCAATATTCATCTGCTCTACTTTTATATTCTTAATTTAATATTCTGCTGAAATATCGTCGATGTCACAAACCATTTCTTTTACATTGTATGCCATGCGTAATTTTCTTCTTCTTCTACGAGTTCTATTTCTTGTGCTTCTGATACATCATATGAGTTTAAAAAATCCAACGATTCTTCTTCTTCGATTTCAAAGTAGTCTTCGTACATTTCTTTTAACATCTTTTCATTTTTCTCTTCATTGTAACTTCTTCTGATGTTATAGGACTTTTTGGAAAGTCCAAGGCAGTAAATACTGCAGACAGCAGTATTATTACATTGATATACGTGGATTAAACCGCATTATTTTCTAAAAATTATCAATATTATTTATATATGTCTATTTCCAATATAATAATTATTAAAAGAAAGATAGAAAAAAGTTGTTATTATCTATTTCATAATAACTTTGATACCTTCTTATTGGTTATTCTCCAAAGAAATTCATTGAACATAGGAAAAAACAATCTTGTACAAATGACGTCTGTTCCTACAAGTATTTTAAGAATGTAATCAAATTATAAATGTACTGTTTTATCAAATCCTAACAGTCAAATTAAAAAAATTAATAAAACGTACATGATTATTTCAATAAAAAAAATTTTTTTGAGTAAGAAAATATAAAAAGCAATAAAAACTTTAAAAGTTAACACTTACTGATGGAGGTTCGTATTACTCTCACAACTGGTAGTACTTATTAATCAAAATCAAATACAAAACTGCGAATTTGTTGCGACGATCTGCGCCTTTTATACTTATGTACGTGTCAACAATATACGCAGACTATGCGTCAGCATATCAATTTTCCGCCTAAAAATAAGTTAATATGACATAATATTTTGCAATACATTATTTGACACGGTAGTGTCTCGTCTGTAAGCCAAGCCAAGCGATACTGCCGTGGCTACTTTACGCGAGCCGGCGTTCATGTTAACATTGAACACTGCAATTAGCTGCTGTACGATCAAAATAAAAAATAAACGATATTTTACGAAAATATTAATTTCTTTATTCATACTTTGATTTTAATTTTTCGAGGTACATTTTTGTATTTATTATCAAAAACATTTGACTGGTTTCGGAAGTTTAACAAGGTTACTGTTACTATATTACTGTTATTATTATTATCATTACTATCATTATTATTATTATAACATTATTATTGTAAAAAGCTCTTATTATAATAGCTAGTGCGATAATGATGCGTACTGGATTGTATTCATTGAACGGTATCTTGTGCTTCCAACGCGGTACGAATACGTATGGAGCGCGTAAAAAGAAATGTTTTCGTTCATATCTGAAAAATAGTTTTTCGGAACGTAATTTAAATACACCGTTGTTTTCAGCGTAAAATTCTCTTTAATTTTTATCATAAAAATTTAAATATTTTTGAAAATAAGAGTTGAGGGTGAGGGTATACAATAAATAAGTTAAAAAAAATTTTTTTTTATTATAGTTATAAAGTACGCTTGCAACTATTCAATTTTGATTTAAAAAATTTTTGTCTATCTCTTATAGTTTCGAAGATATTCGATTCGAAAGAAAAAAAACCTATTTTTTTCAAGGGAGGATTTCATCCCCTTAACATGTGACTCCGCACGTATAAAAAAATACGTGTCTGTTATTTTTGTCTATAGAACAACATACTAAAAGCTTATTTAAATCGGAGAGGTTCAACTGGTTGTGTTCCTTTATTAGTTTGAATGACACCTATTCTAAGCCTCTAAAAATAGAAATATAGTTAGCTAGGGTAAAAATTAATTTATTGAAATAAAATTTTACAAGCACATGTTTCTAGATTTCTGTCACAAGTTTCCCACATGCGCCATATCCGAATTTTCAATATTTTGATTTTTCATTTCACTTTAATATTTATAGTCTTTTTTTTTCTTTGCCTTCTTTACACTAAGATATATCCTCGGTTTGTGGTCATATTTTTTTTAATTAGTCTAATTTCAAAATATTTAAATTTATACAACGTATGCGTATGCTTTTCATTTATATTTTCATGCATTTGCGTGCCCCACAAAATTAGATTTCGTGGAATTCAGAGAATTATATGTTTTTGTCTTGTAGCTTTGGAGGACGCATTTAGCACGAAATATTCAGATCCAGCAAGGAAATTTTAAATCTGTTCTATGTGTGGTGAATCTAATAACGATTTCATTAATGCCAATTGAAAGCATGTCGTGATGTGATACTTTTCAGCTGCCAGACGTTACATTTGCGTTACATAACATCACTGTGCTCATGGAGAGTAATATAGTGTCGGAAGTAAGCCAGGGCAGGGATTCGTTTCTGAAGATTCAGAAGGATATACAGCACGCTGTTAATCAGACAATCCCTGTAGTCAGTGCCAGTATTCGACGAGCTTGTAACTACCTGGCGAGCATTGCCAATAACATGACTGCCCTTATCGACAGGATAAATGTCGACATAGATAAAGTATATATGCGACATTTAGAAGTTGCCCAGAACAATATAAATCAGTATTCACCCTATAGGTTCGTGAACAAATAAACTTGAGATAAATGCATTGTGAAGAATAGAATTCATACGGAATATTTAATGATCCTTATATATACGTGGTTTGTTTTAGATACTATCTTGGTCTTGGTATATCCGGTATTCTTCTGACTGTCTTGATGTGTTTAACGTGTGGCCTTTTTTGCGGTATTTGCGGAAAGCGTCCGGACGGATACGGAGATGATTGCTGTAATAAAGGATCAGGGGCACGGTTTCTTATGATGTAAGTTACAAAAGTTACTAGAATTACGTAAAATAAAATCAGTTGCCATTGTCATTCTCTTTTTTTGTAATTGTTAACATTTCAAATTGCAGGGCTGTGTGGATTATCTTTCTTTTGACGAGCATTCTGATGGTTATAACTGTTGTTCATATGATAACCGGCGTTATAGCCCAACGTGGTATCTGTGAGCCTTTAAAGAATCCAAAAGACAACAGGATGTTCGAACTGGTTGACGAGTTCGTGCAAATCAAGAGAATACTTTATCCGAAAAATCCTAATGCGAATATTAACATGAGTTATATTGTAACGTAAGTATGTCTATGGAGTATATGTTGCATTTTAAAATCGGCTGAATTCTAAGGAAGCTTGTATTTTGACAAACGATAATCTTATTGTATAATCACGAGATGCGGTATCGTCTTCCGTCAAGTATATCTATCGGAAAAAACATTAAAAACATAAAAATCTCCCCGTCAAGTATATTTTGCAAAAAAAAACAAAAATAATTGGATATAGTCCAGTACATATTAAAAAAAAAATTGATCTGTGACTTAATTTTTTCCTCATTATAGCAAATGCCACGAGAACGAGACGCTTTACAATGTGCTGAATCTAAAAAATGTATTCATTGTTGAAAGTCTCCGCGATTACAATGGACGTTACGACATCAATGATACCATCCAACAACTGCGCCGCAAGATCAGCCTTTCTCCCGGTGTAGTGATCCTGAAGGATAGCGCGAGATCCAAACTGAACGATCTAGCGCAGAGCGGCCTAAGTGACATCAAATTCTATCAGTACGCTGAACTACTCGCCGAGAACATTACGAATATTAATTTGGAACATCTTGCCAAACAATTACGAGAGGTTTCCGCTAAATTACCGGAAGGGCAAGAGGAAATCAGGCTCAGTCTTGAGAAGAATGCACATGACTTGGAACATTATCACAGAGACTTGGTCATGCCTATGGCCATGCTCAGCGAACAATTGAGCGCGAACGCGTTAACGCTTCAGGAGACCATTAAATTCAATCATAGTTCAATGGCTGACGCTATTCATGATTTAGTGGATGAAGTTACCAAAGCGCAGCAATTCCTAAATAAGGATGGACCAGAATATGTTCAATATGTACGTCTTATTTTTTTATGGGAGTATATTTTAGTAATATTGCTATATGTTACATTGATGTTATTTATAACATGTCAATTTAAAATATATTATTGTTAATAGCTTGCTACTAAATTTGGCAATGCGTTTTTGCATCAAGTGGACAAATTTCTCGAGCATGTCATTGAATCTGCAATTTTCAAGATTGGAAGATGTGCTCCAGTATCCAATGCTTATAACGCAACGCTCGTGGCCGGATGCAATAAAATTTTGGATCCATTCGTAAGTATTTAGTTTGCTAGACGCCTTTATAAATCCATAAATCCGCGTATATCATTTGATGCGCTAACGTGCCTACGTGTATTATTTATATAAATTCTTAAATTTTCACTAAAAATTTCCATTAAATTTCGTAACCGTTTTAGAAGTCTCGTAAGGTGATAAGCAAATTTATTGCAACGGATGACAACTAAAGTATTGAGCGAGTAATAACATGCGTTATAAAATTAAGTAGTTTTCGTTGAAAATTAATATTTATGATTTTATTTACATTTATCTATAGAACGGCTTTTGGGCAAGCGTTGGTTGGTGCCTAATTCTATTCATACCAACGATAGTGCTCTGTGTGAAGTTGAGCGCTCTGTACCAAAAGTCAGATCCATATCCGGGGCCTCTTGTCGAAGCGTAAGTTTCTAATCTCTCGTTATAGATATAACAATTCTCAACTGCAATCTAAGAGACGTCTCTTTAATTGTTTTTGACTCATCGAATACATGGTGCATGACAATATTTGAGATACTAATGTGTCTTTAGTAAATCCATTGTCAATCGAAATCATACATTAACATAAGATATTCACCAAATCGTTGAGTAACGTCCCAAGTATCGATTACAAATCTAAAAGAAATAAACGTAAGAAATAACGAGACACATTATACGTTACACTTCGGAGCGATAAAGCTTTTTTCTTTTTTTTGCGATTCTCAACGTACAACGATCCCTGAACACTTCTCATGTAGAAACTGTTAATTCTTTTATTTCCACCTCGTAGTCACTCTCGAGCTTCCATATATCATGGCATGTACTTATTCGCGCTTTGTAACATCTTTGATATCGGCATGTCCATGTTTTTTTATTTCCAAAAAATCCTTTGATCTCGGAAATTCTGAAAGAATTTCCAGGTTCGAAATTGTCTTCTCAATCTCGAAAACTTGTATCCTGTTTAAAATAGAAATAATTGCCTAATGTCCACCACACTATGCATTCGAGATTGAGAATTGCGAATTGAGGAAATTAAAATTCAGCCAAAGTCAAAACGAAACAGATTAAAATTAAAATTATCTGATTGGTCGAATTCTAATCTTCAATTCGCAATCCTCAATCTTCAATGCGTAATGCAACACGGGCATAAGATAATTGTCCTCGAGAGAGTTTGAATTTCCTTTCATATAATTATTATATAATTAACAATTTTTATGGTAAAACTGCAGAAAAGAGGTGCACCCGCCGATGATCTTGATCTTGACATATGTTGTCAAGGTCATCACTCTGAGTAACTTCCAACAAGTTTTAACCGTCGCTCGTTATTCGTTAAAAAGTTATTAACAAAAAAGTTTGAAAAAATAACGTTTTTCTTTTTATTTCTGCTATATATAATACTAGAAATTATTTAACACCTTTCCTTACTTACGTAATGACTTTCCACATGAAGCAACTTTCGAAGTCTTGTTGGAGATCATTCAGGGTCACGATTTCAAAAGTCGCTTCGCGTGGAAATCGTGCGCCCCCAAGTAGAGGGGGAGGTGGGGTCGTTTCGCGTTAAAAAAAACCTAACCTTAACCCAACCCATTTTTTGGTGTGAGTTAGAGTTAGGTTTTTTAACGCGAAATGAGAGCCACCTCACACCAAAAATGGGTTAAGGTTTTTTTTTAACGCAAAACGACTTCCACTCCACCACTGGATCCACACATACATTTTTCAACACAAAGCGAGATTCTATATATTATAGGTTTACAACTTTCGTTATAGCAGAAATGAGACATTATTTTTTAAACTTTTTTTATTAATTACTTTTTAACGGACAGTAAGCGACGGCTAAAATTCGTTGGAGGTTATTCAGGGTGATGACCTTGACAACATATGGCAAGGTCAAGGTCGTCGGCGGGTGCTTCCCTTTTCTGCAGTTTTACCATTTTTACTTACACAATCAGTGATTTTGTACCATCAAAAATTACCAGTGCTATTTTGATTAAGTCACTTATACTATTTTAGTGTTTACAAAAATATCCTAACTATAATATATCTCGGACGCATATTCTTTTATTAACTGCGAGCAACAACGAGAGATTGTACAAAATCTATTTTACTTAGACCGAATAGTTGTGGTCCACTGCGGTAGCCTAGATTATGTAGCTGTCTAATGTGTGGAATGGTTGTTGGAATCTAACCGCTAACACGCTCCGTTACAGTGAATATTTGTATGACGCATACGCAGACAGGGATAACATACCCCTCGCCCAGTAAGTATACTACGACAAAGCCAAAGTGTGCTCGCATGTTCCACATATTCTCAAGATATACGCATGTATATATAAAGCTTATCGTCACAACTTTTCATGATAAAAATTGTTTGAAGCGACACGATATTTTCCACACCTTATTTTTTACAGTAGATCGTACAATGGTTTATTTTCTGGTAATTAAGAATCAGAGATGAGAAGTAACGCGTTAATTGATATCGTTGCAATTCTTTTTTTTTTTAATAACGAATAGGTAACGATATTATATTTTTTTATTTGTAATATTATGGTTACGCATTTAATGATTAATAGTAAAGTATAATAGTTACATTTTTGGTTAACGGTTACGAATGTAATCATTACTTTTGTCGTTACTTGCATATACAGAGTGATTAAAAAAAAACATTTGTCCTTAAAGTGTCATATTCCTGACTTAATTCTAAGACTTAATTCTAAGATTTTTCGAATGAGTATTAAAAGGGCATAGAACCAATATTTTAACAAATAATTATAATTAGAATAATAACATTAAATACATAAACTACATAAATACATACGTTTCGACTCCGATCGGGTCATTTTCAATCCAAAAAACAATAATTCTTTAACTTAAACATCCGGTAATAATAAAAAACTTCAAATTACATAATGAAAATAAAAACAAAATAAAATAAAGTCGCTGACAAAATATAAAAAATTAATCAATTAATTGTAACATTTCATAATGAGTAAATAATACAATGTCTTAAATAGCTATTGCAAAAAATATATTCTAAGATTTTTCCTTTGCGAAAATTTTATCTGAGTTTTCAAATTACAAGAAGAAGTTAGCGTATCACAGGCCGCGTAGAGGAGACGGGCATGAGCGGCGGTCACAGTTAGACGCGAGCGCTTTACGCACGGGGCGCATACTGATTGGACGCATTCACACGTTTATAAAAACACATTTCTTCTTATTTTTCCCCTCTACTATACTATCTCTTTGTCTTTCACATACTTTAAATATGATAAAACATTTTTTCTCGTAATTTCTTATAATTTTTCAGAAATCCCAAAATGTCATATTTAATTGTAGATTGTGCGCTTTTTCTCATATTCATAAATACTCATAAAATACAATCTGATTGTATGTTATGAGTATTTATGAGCATTTATGAATATGAGAAAGCGCATAACATAAAATCAGATTGTATTTTATGAGTATTTATGAATATGAAGAAGCGTATATATATATATATAATCTATAATTAAATGACTCTTTTAAAGACATTTTGAGATTTCTGAAAAATTATGAGAAGTTATGAGAAAAATTGTTTTTAGGTGTATGATAAAATATGAAAAATGAAGTACTTTGTATGAGAAAATATGAAAACATACGTCATATCTGAAAGGAGAAATTTTACGAATGATAACAAAACATAAAAAAGTCATTTATTCATTGCATTTTATAAATATTTATGAATATTTATGAATATTTATGAGGAAGTGATCGTTATGAGAAATTATAATATTTTTTATTAACTATTGGGGAAAAAATTTCAAAAAATATTAGAAAATCTGAAAAATTTCTCATAATTTCTCATCGGATCGTTATGAGAAATTATGATATTTTTTATTAATATTATTATTGAGAAAAAATGTGAGAAAATATTCGGAAATCTGAGAAATGTCTCATAATTTCACATAATTTCTCACAAATTATGTATATGAGAAATTATGAGAAATTATGAAAGATCTTATGAGAAGTTATGAGAAAAATTTTTACTAAGATAAAAATAACACTTTAATGTGACATCCGCGTGGATGCTAAAAAAAAATTGTTAAGCATTTTCTAAGTCATTGAAAGTGGCCAAAAACCTCATTCTTTGCACCTTTAGGTTAGAATATCTCAAAAACTTGACGTGATACGACATTTTCGGGACCAGATTTGTAATCAGTGCATCAAAATATATCGGAAACAACTTCGTTTACTTTATTGCCAAAAAAGATTGAATTTTTGTCGACCAGTGTTATTGCTGTGCACGTGATAGCTTCTGCTTAGAAGCTTCGCTAGGAAAATTATACATATGCCGATAGATCGGCTTTTAGATTAAGCGTGTAGTACCAGCTATGACCGTTTAAAAGAACGGTCTTTAACTGTAGAAGTGTAGTTCAAAACGCAAGCTCGTATAGTGATTAAATATGAAGAGAAAGGCTTATGCGTAAGTCTTCCTATTAAATCTTCAATTGACAGAGTAAATTGGAACAAATTGAAGTAAATTAATGTATAGGTTCTTAATTTAAAAAAGTCTACCCAATGTACTTTATCTCACATCTAATTCAACCTCGCATCAATTTAATTCTATTCGCATCATTCGTCGTAAAAAACGACAATTTATGGTGACACTGCAATCTACTGGGCATCGTATAGATTCATCATTATGCGAGCTCGCGGCCACTGTTAAATACACGCTATTCGGAGATGTGTTTCCCAAAGAGCGTTTCTCAAGCTATTCGTATAGAGCGTGAAGTTACACGAACACAGGTCGTGTAAAATCTTCAAATTTCAGAAATAAGGAGAGATAATTTTCCGAGATCCAGAACGGATTGGGAAGCGCTGAACCGGAGATTCTTAATATTGAATACATCAAGCGGCTTATTAGCATACGCAACACGCGTCTCTAACTCGCACGAATGAGCGATTCGTCGTCGTCGTAGACTTCAGGCAACGATCTTAAAAAAACGTTTGATTACAGCGTCCACGACAAGAAGCACATGTCCCACAGACATAACCCCGCGGCGTACGTCGAGAGTTATGACGGACCGGCGATGGGATACGGCGAGCGCGAGAGGATCCCTGATGCCCACCAGAGCACGTCGCATCACGACTCGCGATATTCTGATCTGGCGTCTAAGTAAGTGGAGCCATCTCACTCACAGGGCCATTATTATCAATTATTATTATTCCGGGAGATGAATTCCCTCGCAATTACCAACATCGCCATGCATCTCGATCGAGACGTAGCGCTTAGAATGATACGTTATCAACACGTTGCACCGCGTTTAACGTGGCATCGTGGCGTTACGTTCTTTTCGTTTTCGTTTTCTTCTTCTTCTTCTTCTCTCTCTCTCTCTCTCTCTCTCTCTCTCCCTCTCCCTCTCCCTTCCCCCCTCCCATTCCCTCTTTCACTTCCTACCTACTTTTTTTCTCCTTTTCTCTTGTTTTAACTTTTAATATAGATACGTTTTTGGTACTTTTATTGTGCTTTACTACATATGATAGGTCTTTCGTATCCTGGATTTATTTTTATCACTTTTAAGAACATAAAAATTATTAAGTAATTCTTGCATATATTTTAATATTTTTAGAAAATATTTATAAAGTTGTACATTTATATATATATCAAAAATTGTATACGAGTGTCATAACTAATTATAGTCAAATGGGAAAATGAACTTTTTTATATAAAAATGCAAAACTCTAAAAAAAACAAATGTTTAAAGAAAAAATACGTTTCAATATCTTAAAGTTGACATTTCAAACTAAAAAAGAAAAAAACAATTCAAGTGTCGGCTGTTCAAAAAGTTTAATTATAAGTAAGCTCTGAAAATGACATTTTTTTACGTAAATGGATATAAATTACACGTTTATTGCATTTACATTTTTAAACAATGCATCTTTATCATTGCATTACAAAAAGTTATAACTGATTAGAAAAAACATTGATAATTATTTACAATGAATTCTTTTTCGAATTTTGATGAGCAATGCAAATGAAATTTAAAAAATTAGAATCAGTCTTGGCAATCATCACAAAAATAGCTACTAAATCCTCTATAAGTAATGCAGCCTTCATGGGCCCATTTGGTGCAATGACTGCACTGGATCAGTCATAAACAAATTATCATACTGCATTGTGGCAAAAAATAAACAAAAATGAGGTGTAAACAAACACGTGCCTTTCGTACACTCGAAAGGTCGTCTGTCCCTCCGTATTCCTAGTATTTTTATCGTAATCATATACCGAGAATGGATCATCCACTTTGCCTCCCACCCGCTTTGCTCAAAGGATTTACCTAGCGCGAACTTGGGGAAAGGTTAGAATAAATTAAAGCACCAAGTGAAACATTTTAATCTTGAATACACGTTTAAAAGACATAGGCGAAATCACAAACATACCGTCCTTTCAAAAACAAAATCTTATAATAAAGTTAGCCTATCACTAGAGTCACAGTAAGTCCCTAATGGCGCCGATAAGCGTAAAGCTAGTTTCCTGTGAAACTAGCTTTCACCTTGTTTAAGTATATATCAATACTTAATATCTAGCGATCACTATGATCTCCTTAATCTATTTCTTTCGCCCGGCACGAGCAGGGTTCCCACTCATCGAGTGATTTCACATATTATTTATGTAGGCCTAGATTTTCGGACGGCCGACGTCGTTCTAGCCGTGAGTTTCAGAAGAGCGAATCTCGTCGTACTCAACTGGAGACGATCATCCGCAGCTGTCCGGTACTCGAGAGCGCGAAACGATGACGCGTCGGCCGTTTCGGTTCCCTTTACAATTTCACGCGCGATTTCGACGATTTTGACTGTATTCACTATTTTGCACCATTTTAATGCATTTTATGCAATCTCAATGGTCACGATTTTTCTCCTGGTTCTTTCCAGGTGAGTGGGAACCTTGCGGGGGGCTCAGCCTCTCGCGTCTCTCGATACGCCTCTGCACGTAAGTCGCAAAGACTACTGTTTACACAAAATGTTTCTGCGTTTCTCCTCCTACGTTCGTGCTCATTTGATCTGTTTCTTTTTTCTTTCTTTCTCTTGCGTTTTTTTTCAATTGATGATATTATGATAGCTTTTGCAAGAGAATTAGGCTTATTGCAATGAAATGGTCTGAAACAGGATCCGAATGATCGTTCAATTTTCTCCTCACCAGTGGAAGCTCGTTCTCTTGTTGTTAGCCAAAATTAAACGTTTTCAATAAGAGCGATTATTTAATAAACTTCCGTTTTGAACAATATCTCTTCCGTTGATGTTAATTTCACCTAAAGATACTTTACAAATTATCGTGGAGAAGCATGTCCATCTCGAATATACTTTGCAATTGTCGGGATGTTTCAGTCGGATTACAGTATTACTTTTATTTCGCTTGATCGGCTGATGTGTATTAGTTCGCTAAAGCATTTTACTGTGGCAAGGATATGATAGATCAGGGTTTAGCTTTTTCACGGCCAAATCACCAAGTGTCCGAAGCTACCGAGTGGCGAATGGCTAAACGAAATCGAGAAAATGCAAAACGCTATAAATTCGTGATCGAACTTGAGCAACCAAGCATTATTGAAATGCTGTATACTGTTCTTACAGAAATTAAACTGCTGTATATACTGTTCTTACAGAAATTGGGATTTCCCCAACGGTGGTCCGCCAAGATATCAACCAGCTGCCGGGACTCCACCTCCTTTAAGCACTGAATATGAACGACCGCCACCCTATTACTATCCTGGGCCTGTGTAAGTATTAACTTTTCTTCTGCATATAGACAGTATTTGATCGAAAACCACCTGTCTCTTTCTAAGCGACGAAACATCGGGCTTGGACCATTCTTTTCAGATAAACAACTGTTCGCTTCTCAAAAATTATCTTAACCATAAATTTCGAGAAAAAGAAAGAGACTCTATCTGTTTCAGGGATAGAAATTAGGAAACAAGTGCCGTGGCATGCACAAAAGCAGCATTGAACAGTGTGGCGACGCACAGCCTCACGCGCAGCTACAAGCGAACGTTCAAGAATAGAGAGAAATCTGGATGTAAAAGGGACTACGTATAATATACTTCACGTTTGTTCCTGAGCGTGCCACGGATTGTGCGAACACCAAGACCAAGTTTAATACAAACTAAAATAGGCCAATCTGGTCAATGATCCTTTCGCGGCCTTCCCTCCTTTTGTGGAGTACAGATAATCAATATAAATGTGACGTAAATTTCACTTTTTGTTTAAGCATCACTTAAGAATTAATACTCATGCGTTTCCGTACCGCGAAAGGAACACCATTTTTTATTAAATGTGGACTTTAAGGAATGCGAAGTCTCGCCGTTTCTCAATCTTTCAACGTAAAGACAAACGTAAAAACAACGTAAAGACAACGCCCGGATATATGTACATCGTGGCTCACTCGACATCCGTTTTCGTCTATCGAGTATGGATATTGAGATATTTGTATATGTCTTACGTTTTCGATCAGTAAGAATAACATATATGTAGAACAAAGGTCGATCGAACACGGGATGAAGTCAAAAGAAAATAGAATTAGATGATGAAACGAATTCCCTTTCGTTTAACAATACATAAAGACTGTACGTGCGTGAAGAACTACGATCTATCGAATTGTCTAGCACAAATTATTAATGCTGCCAATGTAGCGCGCTATTTTCCATATGAGAAACCTCCTCTATCTTGACAGATTGCTGATCCAGCACTTTGAGCCACCAAACAAACGCCATATGAAAAATGCCAAATGATACACATGCGATTTACACGCATATATTCGAAGACACGCATCGTTATTACACTACAAGTGTCGCGTGGTTCATCACTTTGGATCTCGTTCGTCTTTATAGTTGAGGAATACTAGTATTAAATTCTTGTATTCTCCGCCAAATGTTGATTTCTGTCTCGTGGCGGAGGGAGAAAGACAGAAAGAGAATTTTCGAGCGGTGCGACTGCTCCATTATAAATACTCTGTGTACATTTCTCAGTAGTTGTTTTCTTATATACTCTATCTTATTGTGCAACATTCTATCGATATAAACCAAGGCGATTTTTACGTAGATCGCGTAGATCGCGCCCATACATTCGCTTAATCGGATCTACGCGCTGTATGGATTCTTCGATGTACGAATTATTACAACATCCGTTATCCTTCCCCCATTTGAGTACAAACATTTGGTCCGGTATGCAAATATAAATGTTTCTGGTTCGTTTATATTGAACTCGTATATAACAAATCTAAGGATCTATATGGTACACTACCGTTATTATGAGTAATCAATGACCGCGAATCAATCAAGGATTAGTTGAATTGTAGTTTTTGTTTTCATTGATAATATTGTTTAATTGATAATATATTCACGATTGCTACATTTTTGGTTTTTGCCTAGAAATTTCGCTTTTTAAACAAATTTCCAGCAGATGGAAAAATTCCCCGGTTAATCGTTCGAAATTTTGAAAAAAATTTTTTTTTTAAGTATTACATATAAATGATGACGATTTACCATAAATCTTATAGCGTTTTCCCTTGGAATGCACTGAGTATAGCCTTACACTGCAGTTGCGTGTAAGTGCTACACTGCATTGGAGTAATGCACACCATGGTGTATACTACTTTATTATTGCACTAAAATCCTGCTCCCGATTAACTTACATTTTCAAATTTTAAATGTCACACTGGCTTTACACATCCCTTTGAGATGGTGTGACAAAATTCCATTTGCATAAAATTTGCAGTACATCGTAGCCATGAAAAACATAGTATATCGAATGAGCCAGCCATGGAAACACGCTACACTGTCTGGGTATTGCACTAGTGCAGCCAAGGGAAAACGCTATTATACACAATTGACATGAGGAAGGTCAATCAACTTATCATTTTTCATGCCACGCGTGTGAACGTCGATTTTCCTCCAGTTTCGGAAAGAAATCTTTTAACAAAGCCAAATCGACCTTTTTTCTTTAAAGAAAACACTACCAAGAAATAACAATCTTGATAATGATAACACAGACCCACAGAAAAAAAGTACCTGTACTGGGGTAAAGATCCAGCTATTTTTATGTATTTTGAGTCGCTGAATACGAATCTGACATCAAAATAGGACCATCCATGGTAAATTTTCAATCTAGAGCGAAAAAGTGGGTCAAAACCTTGAAATCTTTGCTTTTATTGATATATTCTAAGATCATTGGTAAGAAACTTTTGATTAAACCTAATTTGCGGGAATTTTCTATCATATTAGCTACGATGTTTTTGTAATTTTCGCTTTTCTTATTACCTAAAAATTTGTCTACAACTTCTTTGAAGCTAACCCATGCTGCCTTCTCGATATCAGTCATTTTAGTAACAAACAACTTGCAAAATCAAGCTATCGTGTTGCATGATTCCAGTCATGTAGTGATACGTAGGTATAGAGAACGTAGATACGACGTTTGTTGCCACCTTGTCTGCCAATTGAAATATAAAGGATTGATTTTTGTAGTAGTATATTAGTATTCCAGACTGTTCAATATAGTATTTTTTGACGGCTGATAAGTATTTCTCAACTCGGGAAACATATGATCTAGGTTTAATCAAACGTTTTTTGCCAATGGTTTTAGAATATATCACTAAAAGCAGAGATTTTGAGGTTTTTGACCCATTTTTTCGCTCTAGATCGAAAATTTACCCTGGATGGTCCTATTTTGATGTCAGATTCATATTCAGCGACTCAAAATACATAAGAATAGCTGAGTTTCCACCCCAGCACATGGTACTTTTTTTCTATAGGCCTGTGTAATCAATTTCCACCAAAACACTAGGTCGAAACTTAGAGCATATACAGGGTGTTTGACAATTAACGATAAAACTCTCGCATAACATCAGAATGGACTAAACTGATTAGAAAAGTCCTGTATTATTTTACATTTTTTGCATTAGTTAACGAGTTATTAATTTATGAAAATAGCCAAATTCGCCCAGCCTACCGCCAAATGCAAACGCGAGATAAGACTGCCCAGAGAGACGCACGTTTGTCGTCGCTAGGTACGTTGTTTACAAGTGACATTGGCATTAACGTGCCTAGCGACGGTGAACGGCGCACCTTGCTGGGCGGTCTTATCTCGCCGCGCGCTTGCATATAGGGATAGGCCGAGTGAATGTGGCTATTTTTTTTAATTAAAAAATATATGAATATATTAAATATATTAATATGATATATTAATATATTAATATATTAATGTT